TAAAATACGAACTTGAAGATAGATAGCAAAATGAAGAAGGATTTGAAGAGAGCAATATGTATGACCCAGCAGAGACTCCTAGGAAAAATTAATTGTAAGCCAGTTTAAATTTATAATCAGTTAAATTTAATTTTTTTACTTAGTTATTTGTTGAAGGAGGAAGATTTTTTCTTTCTCCTATTTTTTTGACTTTTTTTGTTTGTTTGTTTTTCTGGTTTTTTTGTTGGTCATTGTTGTATTGAGACAGAGTATCACACTATAACCCATGCTGTCCTGGATCTCGCTACATAGCACAGGCTATCCTTGAACTCATAGCAATCTACCTTAACCTCCCAAATAGACAGCACCGTACTTAGCCTTTTTTTAGCTTCATATAAGTTAGAAAACAACCTTGTATTAACCAGTTTCTAAATTATAATGGATAATAAAAATTAACTAAGGGGAAAACTCTCTAATTCTTTAAGAATAACATGCAAAGTCAGGCGTAGTGGCACAAGCCTGTAATCCCAGCACTTCAGATGTGGCGACAGTTCAAGGCCATCCTCAGCTACACAAGTTTAAGGCAGCTGTGGGTCACATGAAATTCTGCCTCAAAAACAAAATGAAGAACAACAGAAAAGTTAGATAATATTAACTGAATAAAATCTAATCTCAAGAAAGTAGGAAATTTTGTTTTCAATTCTGAATGTCCTGTTTCCACACTACCATGAGAAAAAGAAACTTCCAAATGTGTGAGAAATTATTTTACCAGTATTCTGCAAAAAGCAAATTTACAGAACTAAGATATTAAATGAAAAAAAAATACAAAACAAAACTGGAACCAGGGAGATGACTCAGTAATAAAATGCTTCTCACACAAGCATAGGACCTCAGTTCAGGTCCTCAGAACCCAGGTACAAAGTTGGGAGCAGTTTGTTAGGCAGTGACAAAAGGGCCTCTGGAGCTTGCTAACCAAGCAGTCCAGCCAAACTGAAGCAGGCAAACATAGACAATAAACTATAGCAACTATGAGTTACTGGGCTTAGACTGTGCATACACACCTCTTCTAATAATGGACTTGGCAACCAGGACTCTACTGTGTGTAACACGCACATGCACACACAAACACATGCACAAGCACACCTCCAAACAATCAATGCATCCAACAATCTGTTAGCAACCTAGGACCCCCATCTTCACTGAGCTGCACATATCCCACTTCAAACAAAATGCAAGAAGTTTCTGTTACACATAAGATCCATCAAACATAGACAGTTTCCAGTCAGTTATACTTCAGATATGCCTGGGTACAGAAGTCGGGGGGCTCAACCTGACCCTCAAGTGAACATTTAGAGAGAATCTTTTATTACCATCTCATGCTTATGCATAACAGGGCATGCACTGATTAAAATCAGATACATTACAGTCAAACGGAGACCCCAAACTATCCCCTAGTGACCACACTCTGGGGGACCCCATTAAAGGAGCACCAAGAGTGCCTGGAGCCCTGTGGGACCCTCACTTGTGTTGCTTGCTTATCTACACTACCATGCTGTTCTAATTAAAGTCCCTTGCCATTCTGGAATCTGTACGAGCCTTTATTACAACTATTGGAATAGCAGGCCAAGAACTGAAAGACACCCAGCGGAGAACCTCACGGTGTGCTCCATGACTAAGAGACTGGATCTCAAAAATATGGTAAGTGATTGAGAAACACATTGAATATCAACCTGTGGACTATTCAAACACAGGTGAGCGTGTGTGCACACACACATACATGAATGAACAAATACACACACATATCTACAGGCACAGTTAACAAATGGAACACTCTAGAGGGAGAGCTGAAGTGAGGTGTTTGGGTTTGACCTTGTGCATGGGAGGTAGGAATGATTCCCCTGAGCTACATCTCCAGCCTACTGTGATATTTAACTTTCAAATACTTACTAAAGAGTTCATGAATGCACAAAGTAGGACTGAGACTCTTGACACCTCTGTCCAGATAATGCTAGAGAGTTTCTTATATGATCTGGACTTTATGGACTGCAGTGAGAACACAGTATCTCCGAGTGAAGATGCTTGTAGACATGTTTTATGAGTCACCATAATAAACATCATTAACCATGGTATTAAGGAGAAGAACAATGACTCACATAGTGGTTTTACTCGTTTTTCTTAAAATATAGAAGAACCTAAGTTCCAAAAGCCACAAAATGAACAGTAAACATTCCTGTGAAGACAGAATTAAACTGGTGGAAAAAAATTCAGTTGAAAGGGGCTTTAATTAAAGTTTGCTATTTTAATATTATTATTTCAATACAATTTATAAAATCAGAGAGAAATTAATACAAAATTGAATCTAAATGTATACTGTCTAAACATAAAATGTATATTGTCTGTCCTTAATCCTCCCCCTCTTCTGTGTGTGTGCACACGCACACTATCTGTCCACACACAGTCTACTCCTCTATTGCTCTCCCCCTTCTCTGTTTGTATAAGTACACACACATTATCTGTCCATAATTCCTCTATTGTTCTCCATTTTTTTTTGAGACAGGGTCTCTCTCACTATACCTGGAAATTCACTGAGAATTAGAATCCTTTCTTACTTTTTATTCATTTTCAGATGGTGGTGGCACGCACCTTTAATCCCAGCACATGGGATGCAGAGTCAGGTGGACCTCTGTGAATCTGAGGCCATCCTGGTCTACAGAGTGAGTTCCAGGGCAGCTAGGGCTATACAGAGAAACCATATCTTTAAAAAACAAAATTTTTTAAAAAATTTCATTTTTCAAAATAGTCTTTTCTCTGTTTTCTGGAAATGTAGAGAAGGAATAGAAGGAAGTGAGTTTTGGAGCAGATAGTGAAATTATAGAAGTACTGGAGGAAGCCACAGTGTGGATATGCCCTTAAGGAGTTTCTATATTATTCTGTGATAACATAGAGTTCCAATTGATTACAAAGGAAGAAATGTAGGAAATGGAACCTAACGAAAGATACTCTGTGTAAGGGTTAAGTATTCTGGAAATGTTCTGGGGTGAGTTATAGGAGAGCTGGGAGACAATGAGGATGGACCCGCTGAGAAGCCATCCCCCTCCCCCGAGCCAGTGCAGAGGCAGCCCTCCCGACCACTGCGTGTGAGGAGTGAGAAACGCGTTAGAAGTGCACTAGGGCAGGACAGTCGGGGCTACACAGAGAAACCCTGTCCTGAAATACATAATAACTAATAACAATAATAATAATTTAAAAAGAAATGTGTTTAAAATAATCATAATTATGAATTTCTGATAATTCCCAGGAATACTGATTTATTATCCCTGGACTTTCATAAGAACTCTTATAAAAGAGATGGAGTCAGAAACCTATACTTGAGCTGCAGTTCTAACACCAAAAGAGAGACAGAAAGGAGGGTGAGAGGAAGGGACCGAGACTCATTCAGTGTCAGAACCATTAACACTAAAATCAAGCTGAAGACAAAGAGCTGTTAATTACTTAGCATGTTCCTACTCAACCATGAAACAATGGAGGAATATCACAAGGAACGCAACAAGAAGGAGGTAGAGTTATTGGTTATAGGATTAACATGCAAAAAATAGTGATTCCTCAATGTAACTCATGGAAAAGGTAGTATGAATGAAAATTCAAAGGTAACCGTAAACAAAACTCTAAAATACCCAAGAACGAAATCAATTAATAAAAGGTACAAATAAAGTTATGTCCTGTACAGGGAGCCAGCAAGGGCCCCTCGGGGTTTAAAGGTTTCTGATCATTGCCTTTGTTGAAGTTCAGAGAAGCCAGGCAGGAAGGCTGAGAATTTACGTCTGTGTGAGCGGAAGCCAGGCTGCACCACCAAGCGAGGCCCTGTCTGTGAGTAACAGACTCTTGAGACACCAGGGAGACAGAAGATTGGAGGACTAGTCTGAGCTTGGTTCAAGCAAATGAGCCCAGAGAACCCGAGGCGGCTTCTTCCCAGTGACATTCTGAGCCTGAACACCACCGGCATCTCCCTGCTCAGTTCTAAGTGATGGGAAGGGGGCCAAGGCGCTCAGGTTCTCAGATGCAGATCGGAAGAAGCTAAACCACGATGCAGAGAAGCGAGAGCCCGAACAGCTCATGAATCAACTGAAATGTCAGGCAGGGTGAAAGGTCTCTAAAGAGATTGCAGGTAATGCTCAAAGAGCTTTCAGCAGAGAGTATCACCAATTGTAGGTATGGAAGTAAAAGAGTATCTAAAGCTTTTACATTACTTTGGGATAGAACCAAAAGAACAAACACTCTGTAATGTTCTTATGTCATTAAGAAACTCCCAGACACACATTCTTTAATATTTCAGATTTTGTGACTGCTAACTTTTGACTGGATTTCCGGATACTATACACTCTAGATAAAAATAGTTTACTAAGAAAATTAGAATGTAGCCAGCTGTGGTGGTATAAGCCTGTGATCCTAGTACTTGGGATGCAAAGGCAGGAGAGAGGGTATCAGTGTCATCTCTGACAACATATGAAGTTCAAGGCCAGACCCTATCACAAAACCAAGAGAGAACAAACATTTATAACATAAACAAGTGGCTTGAAGCACCAGAGAAACAACTGTTTACATAGCAATAATTAATATTGTAAGGGTCCTTATCTATAAATTCATGAAGGTCACCTAAGGGCTTTTCTAGATAACACTTCATTAGCCAAGTAATTATGAGTATATATAGCTAGAATAATAAAATGAACATCTGTTTTAAAGAATGATTTTAATTTTATGCCTTTCCTTAAATCAACCCCACTTTTATACCTTACCATTGATTACTGGGGTCTTTATATAACAAAAATAAACAACCCTCCCTGAAAACAGAACTAGGAATCCCTGTTGTAGCTAGGTAAGGTGACAGACGCCTGTGACCCATCACTTGAGAGACAGACAGAAGGACTGCTGAGTCTGAAGGCAGAGAGCACCGGGCTAGCACGATACACAGGGAGACCCCACCACAGAACACAGAGACAAAGAAGTGCTTTTCCTGCTCTCACCTTGGCCGTTCTCCACTCCCAACCGTCGCCTATCTGCTGTGAATGTTTGATGAACTCTGCACAGTGATGCTGGAAGCTCTTTTCTCCAAAGAACTCGTCTTCCATGGTAAATGACCCTGCAACACAAGAGAGAGAAAGCTGGGGCAGAACAATGGGAAAGGTCCTCGGGGTCAGTCATGAGAGTCTTCTCTCTCCGTATTCTCTCCCTGTCTTCCTTATGTTTTAGACAAGAAAACCTAAAAGCCTATGCTTGTAACAGAGTATTTATCTATGGAGCTTTCTTTGCTTGATCAACACTGTGGGACAATAGTCTGTACCCTGTCACTTGTATTTTAAATAAATGTTGATTGGCCAGTAGCCAGGCAGAAAGTAGAGGTGGGTCAATGAGAATTCTGGGACGAGGGAAGTTTCAGTCTGCAGTCATCACCCAGACAGAGAGGAAGTCAGACACAGCAAGCAAGATGTGACAGCCTCGCTGAAAAAGATACCAAGCCATATGGCTAACACAGACAAGAATTTTGGGCTAATGTAAGCTATAAGAATTAGTTAATAAGATGCCTTAGCTAATGGGCCAATCAGTTTATAATTAATGTAGTCCTCTGTGTGATTCTTTGGGACCTAATGGCTCTCTGTAGGACAGGGCCAGACAGAAACTTCAGACAACTGATCAAGAGGAATTCTTGTCTGGTTTTCTTTTTGAATTGCTGGGCATTAAATACAGGGCCTCAAACATGCTAAACATACACCCTATAAATTAATGGATCACTCAATCAAACATTCTGGGCTGTTTGTTCATTTATATAACGACAAGTGTGACTGATGCTGAAATGTAGTCTAATCCTCACTGTTAATTTTATCTGACTCTAAAACAATGCTTTCAAATATGCTCCTCAGAATGTGCCTGCCTTCTGCCTCAGGTCTGACACTGATGTGGGACAGTGGGGTATGGGGGCCACTGCCCTTCACACTCTATTAGAACATAAACTCTCCAGCAAATGCTGTTGCAAAGCTTGAAATTGCTTTCCGAAGTATAAAGTTAATTAATTACTACTAGCTCAAACTCACAAATGTAACATACCAAGAAATACATATTTGTTGTAGAAAGCAGTTCAAACATCAAATATTCTTTATAGAAAGAATTTTAACACCTAAGAAAAATACCAGATCATGTAGTTGAGGCCTCCCAAAGAAAGAAGTCAGATGCAACAAAGGCTCATTGTTACCACCTATGAGCATCAAGTACTGCTTATTGTATCAGCTGCTATGCTGGACACTTCACATTTCCACTCCTTCAACAAAAAATCAAAAGGTAACTCTTCACAAATACAAATAAAAAGGGATTCAGGGCCATGACCTGTCTATACAAGCTGATTTCCAACCTAATATGCAGACTATTGAAATTTACCATAACCTATATAAGAATATGCTTATTCACCCAATAGTAAAAGTTGAATGCATATTAAATAGGCACTATGCATAGAGAAAAGTTAAATACGGAAAAGCAGACACTCTGCCTTGTAAGAGCTCATGTTCTAAGAAAGGGAGATAAACAACAAAAACAGTTTCAGTATAAACTGCCTTAACCAGCCTCCATTCACTATCATTCCACTCGTTGATGCCGCTTGTAGCCTTGCCGGGGCCCACTGATTCTGCTGCATGAAGACCAGGGATTCTGCTGCGGCCCACTGATTCTGCCGCATGAAGACCAGGGATTCTGCTGCGGCCCACTGATTCTG